ACGGCGCTGCGGCGCGACATCGCCAGCCATCTCATTTTTCTTTCCCTTGTCGGCAATGGAACGTCAAGGATAGCCTACAGCATCGCATCCAGGCGGCTGATTACTGTCTACGAGGTCGCATGCGTACGACATGGCAGAAGTCGAGACTACATCTTGGGGTAGCAGCTGGGCGAGGGCCTGAAACAGACCAATGAAGGTGAAACCTGAACCAAGGAGAAGAAGAAAAGCCTGCCACTGGACAGCGTAATTCTTTGTCGTTGACAATCTGAATCTGCTCTCGGTTCGCAGTTCGCCAGCCAGTCAGAGGTGGACGTACAACGTCGAATCTCGAAAAACTTAATAACCTTGAGAGCATACAGGACAGGCCAACCTAGGCGGCTGGCTGGGTCTCTGGGATAAGCCGGACTTGCTCTTACGAGAGACCAAAGCACCGGGAAACATCTGGTGACATTCCACACGGCACTTCGTCATCAAGCGGTGAGGGTTCATCAATGATAGTGGCCCTGGCTCCCTGTGACGGCGCTGCGTGGAGTTGCCGTTGGCTAACGATTACGGGCCGTTTCTTGCTTCGGTCCATTATCATGGGCCATGGGCCTTGCCTCTATACTCGATAGGATCAAGGGATGCCGGCGACCGCCCCCGTTACTATGAGTAACTAAGAGGAAACGGCAAAGGAGACGAGTCAGTGGCTGACTGGCTCCTCTGATTATGGTCTTATGGCCCAGAGTTCCCGCTTCAGCTCCTGCCCGGGAACAAGACCCGGTTTCTTTCGCGGTGTGTGCCGCGGTTTCCCAGGCCTTGCTCTTAAGGCGTCCCGTGTTAAGGAGCCCCATCGTGAAGCGTTAGACCGGGCAGTCTCCGTCTATCAGTCGGAAGGGTTCAGTTGGGTTCTATGGGCTCATGGGGGAGAACCGGCGATTGGCACACCAATCCACTCCCGGAACTGACCATGCATTCTATGGCAATACGGAGCCGAACCCTCTTTACGCGCTGCTTGGCTGGATGGATCTTGCGGTTTGATTGGGGTCTCCATCTTTTCGACTTTGAGCCGCGGCAATCCTGCAGATGCTCCAGTGTCCTGCAGAGATATCCGGTACAGGAACAGGACACTAACGGAGCTTCTCTGGACCAAACCGCAACCACTCACGATGTTTGTCCCCACATGCCGCCAGCGATGCAGCGATGCAGCGATGCAGCCAGCACGCCAACGACCAACAAGCAGCAGAGAGAGAGGGTCGCAGGAGGAAGAGAATTGGAGCATGCTAGCACCAGCAGCACCAACAGAACCCGCCCGTCCGCCCGCTCTCCGTTGGTGCGTGTCCGCTTTCCGCCCTTCTAGAAGCAATGTTGAAAGCGGGTTGCGGCGGTATGGAGAGGGATGACCGCTGCGGCCACCAATTGCGATCACCTACTACGTATGTGTGCCAACTCACTTACCGCCTTGCCCATCTCGACAACCCACAAAACACCACAGGTAGTTGTCTTTGGGGGAAGGGTTCTGCTGGCAACTGGGCGGGCCACCGTAGCCTTGCAAGTTAGACCGGCGGCGGGCTGTGGGGACCGGGTACATTGGGTATGATTTACTGATTATTAGGTGTCATGCAAGTGACCAACCGCTAGAGATCGTGTCGGTTCTCAGACGGAACGCTGTGAAACCGCCATGGCCTATGGCTTTTCCCGGGGTGCACAACCTGGTGTTGTTGTGTTGTTGTTTATTTGTCGTGGATTTGGGGGGGACACTATTGACTGTTTCCTTGGCTCTCCATGGCAACAGGGGAAAGAGACCAACCTCTTCAGGAAAGCCGCCGAACGCACTCTATCCTGCGCTTGCCTGGGCCCTAGCGGCAGACACCGGGTCGGGTGTGGCTTCTTTTGAAGCGTTTGGGGGGTCATTTTGCGACGACACTCGATCGTTTTTCGTCCTTGCAAAAACTCTCTGTCCCTTTCCCTTTGAGTGACGATTGTACTGGTATACGAAGGACAGTCTGGACAACTGCGTACAGTGCGATTGATGAACTTGCGAATTGCTGGCTGGCTGGCCGATCTGCCCTCTTTTTGCGTGCTCGGGGTCATGAAATAGTCATGTAATACATTATACGGGGAAGGCCAAGCCCGCCGGTCGCAGATTGGCAACCATTGGCGACCATTAGCAACCGCTGATCCAAAGGTGCGATATGACGGGGAAAGTAATAAGACAGATAAGCTTTGCGCAAGCAGAAAAAAAACTCTTCAAACTCTCCCACGCTAAGAAGGGAGAATGGGATTGGTTCTCTTTCTCTCTGCGAGTGACAGAGAGCTGCTGTTATAGTAGTAGCAATGCGATTTATCTTGCAACTACGTAGTATTGTCTACTGACCTTAGTTGCGCTCAATTGCTGGACGAAACATCAAGCCAAAGCACAGCCGACCCGTTCATCCGGTCTTTTGTTTCCTTCTCTTCCTGTCATGAATCATTTCCCTTTTTTTCCCCTCGTGGCATCTCTATTCTAGAGCGTTTCCATTTTATGCGTTTCGTTTTGTTTCTTTCACGCCCGACGCGTTTCGAGTTTCATTGATAGTGCGGGGTGGGTTGGGTTGTAGACGGAAGGGAGGGATGGCATGGCATGTTGAGAAGCTGTCACTCTGTACACAGTGTTTGCGACGTTCTCTTTTTTTCCGCCCAAGCTCCCATTTGAAAGGTCAAATCAAGGATAAAGTAGGGATGAAAACTTTTTTGGGCTTTAAGACAAAAATGAAATGTCTGCGCTAGGATTTTCTATGAAATACCCAGGAAGATTGGATAAATCTTGATATGGAGTTTGGAATGGGCTTCTCCTGCGATGGAATGTCCCATGTGACATGTGTCAGTGGATTAGAACCCGACTGGCCGGACTGGCAAAACTGTATAGGTTTCTTCTTTACGTCTGCGCTTATTGAGTCGGGTTGATTCACACGTGCGGCTGCGGACTTGAACTCTCGAGTTTGATGAGTTTTTGAAATGGCACGTGAGCGCGTTGAGTGGCAGCAAGATCCTACCGCTATTGCTGTTACTTTGCAATCAACCTTGTGCTTCTTACCCGGCTGATGATTGTGCCTTGTAGGGAGAGTCGCGGTACTGAAGGTTCAGGTGAGGGAGTCGTCAGATGTCAAGGGGCTCCGAGCGGACGGGATCGCAGTCTTGAGCGCATGATTTTGTCGTCCGATATTTGGGAGAGAAGTGTGCTGTCGGTTGGGTCGTAGTTGTACCTCTGTCACATCAGTCAGCCCGGCAAAGTAACGCACAATCAGGCTTGCTGACTGACTGGCTCATGGAAATTCGGATGGTTGAGGCTGTGGTTGTAGGCCTTTGTTGCGAGGAGCTATCAAGGGTCTCGGGTATTCCGCAGTTTCTCTTTCTCGGATTCGCGAATGCGAGAATCTCCGGGAGCGAGGCTTTAGTGGTTTTTTGGGATTTTTGACTTTTGACTTTGTGGCTCTGGCGAGGCTGAAGATTGTGTGCGGCTGTGCTTGTGTGCGTGTAAGTCAAACCATGAGCTGTCAGGCAAGGTATCAAGTGAGATGAGGTGAGATGAGCAAGCGTCAAGGAAGAAATTGACAAGGGTTGGAGCATTGGCAAGTGGTGGGTTGTTGTGTTGACGAACTTGAGAGGATGGAAATGCCATCTTGCTCTTGTTTTGCCGGGCATGTTGAGAGGACGGAGTCTTGGATAATGATCCGAAAGCGGTATCGATCAATAACGGGCGGGATTGGGCGGGCAACAGCTATCGTCGACACATGTGCCTTCGGTCGAGAGATCATCAAACAGCATATTGTCCACAGCTCTTCGTTAAAGCTCTTCTAAAGGTTCGATTCACGTACATAGTCATTGGCGTGTAATCGTACCTACTTGGCTATCTAGCCCCCCTTCTCTTCAAATACGATTGAGTATTGTGAGGACAAGTCCGAATGTGGCTTTGCTCGGCGAGGATTTGCCTCTCGATATGAGATGGGCTTTGCCTGTCATTGTTCTGGTTGAGAGTATGAAACCATGGATTGGCATACATGAACTGGGCTTTAGCGCTTCGTATTGCTGAAGATATGTTGATCTAACCATCCTCACATCTTCAACGGCTGTCTTCTCGGATCACCTGTGACCTTGACATTATTCACAGGCTTTATGTTCGAATCGGCGTTGATATGGGGCTCTTTACTTGGAAACCGCCACAACAAGGGTTAGAACCCGGCATCGATGACCGCCTTGTTTTGCGTAAATACTGAAAACCAGACAATGCAGAGCGCCGCAATAGGACTATACCATATAGAACCTTTTATGAGTCAATGGCGATGGGGTCTGACCGGTCATAGGCAATGGAAGAAAGATGCTCCTGAGGAGACTCGCTTGGTCTTTCGGGTCGATGTTAAGAGGAGGCATATCGTTGGTCCGCCTGCTCTCAAGACAAGTTGCGTGTTATACTCGTTCACGGAAGCTGTGAGGGACTTCTAAGCTTCCCCTAGGAAACATATGTTATGTGAGATCACCATGTCTTTGATCCTCCGCAAGGCTCGTTGGTATGGCTTCAAACAAGCCACGGATGTCAATACCTCTAACTCTTCGGTCTCCGCCTTTCTGACCTACTGAAATCACCACGGCCATCAACAGGAATCATTGGCAACAAGAAGACGCTCGCCATAGATGATTTACCTCATACCTCCTTTCCATTTGAGAGTGACGAATATTAGCTTGAGTTCTAGTATTCTGAAGGAGGCTAGATGGGAGGTTATACAGGATAATCAATAACACAGAAAAATATGATGAGGCTCTCTTGATGAGAAACCTCATCGAGGAGCCCGCTACAAGTAGGAAAACACAAGTCGAAGAGAAGCCATGAAGTGAGCAAACCACAAACCCGCCCAGGGGGCTGCAACATCAACCTTCCACCCTCAATTATCGTACTATTCGACTAATAGCATTACCACCTCCTCCCCAAATTATCTCATCGTCAAGCGTAAGCCTTTCCAAATTCTTCTCTCCAAGAACACCCCTCAAGCCGTCCCAGTCGCAGTCGGACGCTGCTTCTTATAAGGAAACGGCAACTCAGGCAGATCGTCATACTCGTACAGCCCCTCGTTGCAATCCGACTTGCCCCAGATGTTCCCCGTGCTCTCGTACCACGCCGAGTCGACCGCGAGGGCCGGGCAGGTCGCGAAGACGTCGAAGCTCCAGTAGAGCCTCTTCTCCTGGATCGACTTGTCGCCGCGGTCCTCGCAGATGGGCTTGCTGGGCAGCGCGCACGCGAGGTCGGTGCGCTTGAGGTTGTGCCAGAGGCGGTGGCAGATGGCGCCGACGTCCTCGTCGACGAGGGCCGTCAGCTTGAAGGGGGTCACAAAGGTGTTGCCGTGGCCGCGTTTGCAGGCGACCTGCTGCCACATGTGTTGCCTCTCGCGCGGCATGTTCATCGGGCCTTTGCCGCCTGGTTTGATTGCCGAGACGAGGGTCGCTGTCGTGGCGAGGAAGAGGAGGAGGAGGGTGATTGGGGACTTCATGGTTCTTGGAGAAGGGTTTGGGCGAACTTTACGTTGAGTTGATGAGATTTGCACCCGTTTGATTATTGGAAGAGAGAAGGATGTAGATAATGTCCGTCTAAGATTGTAAAGATGAAACGAGTGGGCGAGTTGTTAGCTGAAAAAGGGGAATCTCTGCGCCCTTCAGCTATGAGGCAAGTGCCAGGAGAGCGTTGAGGACGTCGAGGATGGCTAGGCGGCTAGACTTGGTATTTCTTTTCGTTAGACGACCAACAACGAGGAAAGGTTGTCAGTTGGCTAGCCAGTTGCCTGACTGATATATAATAAGCAGCCTTTACAGAAGGCTAGAGAGGCTCAGGGAGAACTGGGGAATGGGCCGGAGAAAGCTCATACTTCCATTAAAGACAGATACCTTGTGGACTTCATGCACGAGAGAAGCTATGTGGGACCTACCATCGAATAATAGAATGCAGTGTATACCTGTGATTTTCGTCGCCTTCCCGACGGTAACTATTGTATGCGATGACCAAACTTTTCAAGAATTACGCGCCAAATTCTTGCCCACGATGGCTTCGAATCCTCCAAATACCAGCATGGTGGTGTGCGTTCCAATGTTCACTGTCCAGAATGGAATAAACTTCGTAGAAGCATACGAAATAAGATGTCGGGGACCTTGAGTGATTGATACGAAAGGGGCACAATTAATATTGAGCGGCTGTCAATATATAAACTATCCTCTGCAGCCGCGGCTCACTCATAGCCTCCATCCGCCGATGACGCCACATTTGAAACGCAGTGCTGCCATATTTTTGAGCACCGTTGTACTGGCTTATCGTTCAGTCATCATGCCATTCATTATCCCATTCCGTTCCCGTACAAGTAGCATGCTCCTTCTTAGCTCATCTAATAACAAACGGTCGACGTTGACTTATCAGTCTACCCAGTTACGCTCCCGTAACTCGGTCCAGGACAGTCAAGGGGAGTATTCAGATCTTCTGTCTAGTTTCTAAACCGTAGTTATTTGATTTTGATGTTTGCCTTCACCCGTACATGCCGCCGTATGAATGTCTCATAGACAGACGGCACCCTCATCCATCAGGGTCTACCGCCTTCCCCGACGTTCGAAACCTTACGCGGTTTCAACTTCGGACTTACATGTTCCTTCTTTCGAGCAAAATGGCTCATACACGTTCCTTTTTTTTCGCGCGTAAAGTTCAGCCCGAAGAGCTTCGTACATCTGTAGCCATATAATAATTCGTATCCCACCGTCTCGAGGCTGCAGAAGGCCTCCGCTGGCCGGCTCCCCTTTCCAAATCTATGCTCCGCCTTGGTACATGAGACCAGAAAAGTTTAGTACCCGCTCGACAGGAACCTGGTCCTCTAGACTGGTTCCACCTTTCTAAACAAGGCCTCATTTAGATGTTGATGGTAGACGGCCGACATGGAGGGCTGTCAGCCAGGCAAACCATAAAACACCCCTCCGGAAGTCGACCTCCATCTGCACTTCAACGTACGAGATTGGGCTCCCTGCAAGCCGAGAGGCCTGTCACCCCACTGGCACATGGTGTATATACCAACACGAACAGAATCCCAAGGGAAAATAGGAACGGTACCCCGTTAACGAATTCGTAATCTAGATCATATAGCAAAGTCGAGTGATTACACCGGTAATTGTTTCATAAGGTAGGTAAGGCAAGAAAAGTATCAAACGTACAAACCCACAAAAGGATTTATCAATGAGAGAGAAAGCCAGATAAACCCTCCTTCCCAGCAAGCTGAAACAACTCGATCAACAGCAAGCGAGCGTACTATGAGAAAGACCTGTACAAGCATATCCCGTCACAACCAGCTGTCACTCATCCTCGCCCTCCCTAGAAGTATCTCCCTGAAGGCTTTCTTACCTCACCCGACACCCGCTTACAGTGGCAGGTCCTTTGATAGAACAAAAAAGTCATCAATGCAACGAAAGGAGTGGGGAGAATACGTTCCATAAATACCACACAACCGCCGCCAGAACCCCAGCGAGAGAGAGAGGAACCACAGTACCGGCCCCGACGATGCGTTTCAGCGGATGTGGACTCGGTCAAAGTTGCAGCCCGCGCGGGTAAACAAGCTTCCCCCCCGGACCCGCATCCGAACTCCTTACGCTCGGCCGGTCCGGGAGCCAGTCAACCTCATTCCCGGGCCTCGAGCGGACTTTATTCCGTACTGTATGTGTGGTGATGTACCTGTCATCGCTCCTGATTCACTTGTAACAAACTGTCACGAGCAGCAAAGACAACAAAGTCCACGAATCTTTTGTATATGGTTCTGAGGGCGCAAAATGCAGCCCATAACGAGTAATCTCTAAGATAAGCATAAAGCCAGATGAAGAACAGATACAGACGCTGAGCCCCGGGGATGTCACTCGCACGGGGCCACGGCGGGGTTCATCCGTGCTACTGGTAAGGTAAGCTACAACAGCTCCCCCACACGGAGTCCGCCTTTGACCAGGTTAGCCAGCCAGCCCCATCCTCAGTCCAACGACCATTCCAGGTATTGGTCTATATTCCCCCATGTAACGCCATCTTAATGCTTAGCCGTGACCTTGTCGCCGGTGAGCTTCTCGACGTAAGTCTTGGCCCTGTAGTTCCCAATGATTAGTTCTGTCCGTGTTCTGTGACGAAAGGGGTGGGGCCAACTCACATATCACCCAAAGCAACCATGCAAATCGTCTGCCAAACGCCGAGACCAATACGAGGAGCAACACCACGGTAGAGACCGGAGATACCGTTGGTGGAGTAAATGTAACGGAAAGTGTTTCCGACCGTCATCTTCTTGGGTCGGTTGGGGTCCTCCTTCTTGCTCTGCATCTCGACACGGATGACCTCGATAGGCTGGTTCCAGGCGGACAGTCCACCACCGAGACCGGAGGCAAGAATCTTCTCCCAGGCGGCGAGCTTCTCACCGTCCTTCTTGCCTCTTACGTCGCGGATACCCTGCTCGGCCAGACGAGAGAGACCGAAACGGGAACCCCAGTTGGTCATCTGACGGATGGCGACGGCGTTGACACCCTTGTTGATGCCCTTGATACCCTCCTTGCGGTAGATACCCATGAAGGTCTGGAAGGTGCTGGGAGGCGGGACGCCAGTGGAGGCGACCTTGTGCTTGGTGATCTCGACCGTCTTCATGCAAGTGCAGAAACCCATGGTGGCATAGGCCTGGGCAACACCACCGGTGATACCACCGATGATACCACCACCAAACTCGGAGGCACCAGCGTTGCGTGCGTAGTACTCGGCCTCGGAGGCGACGAAGAGAAGGACGGCGCCCTTGGTGGAGGCTTCAATCCAGGCCCAGGGGATGAGACCCTGGTAGACTGTGAGGGAGGAGAATTGTCAGTGATGCTTCTTGCTTGTGGAGTGATTTGTCTTCTGGAGAGCTTCATTATCAAGCAATCGATGGCCATCAAACGGGCGGCGATAGGCAGCTCGATTGACGGATTGATCTCCAGTCTGTCATCTCGGAGAATCACGCGAATCATCAGAATTGAGAATGGGGAGTTTACTCACAACCAAGGACACCACCACGACCCCAGATGCGGCCCAGGGCAGTGCCAAAGCCGTCGCCACGGTTGGCAGCCATGGTGGTCTTGACGACCTCGAGCGGCTGGCCAAGCGTGGTGACCTCGAACATGTTCAGACCGGCGCCCAACAGCAAGTTGGAGAACTTGACGGGCTTCTTCTCCAGCTTCTGGGGCTCCCCGATGGGGGCGGGCATAGTGGCGACGGCAACCATGGCTCTGCTACTTGTGATGACGGAAAGGGGCCCTGACCAAGGGAGGAGGGTGCTTCTTCGCGGGGGATGCGAGGTGCGGCGGGAGGTTTAATGGAAAGTACGGGGTAGATGCTTGGGAATGGAGCCAAGCGAGGAATGGGGGAAAATGCGGTAGGTTGCGGGATAAAAAAAGGGCTGGGAATGACCTCGGATATTCGAGCTGTGTGTTGATAGGTGTATCTCGGAGGAAGGCCGAGGTCACAGGTGACTTTTGTGTATGAGGAGAGGAGAGATGTGTTCGTTTGAAAGTCAGGCGCCCGGGGGACTGGACTGGTTTTGGTTGCTAGTTCGGGGGTGGAAGCGTGCGTTCTCAGTGACAAGAAACCGAAGAAACAGAAGCAGGAGCTCTCCGTGACTGAGCGGACGTGGGAGCAGGCGCCTTTTGCACGTGGGAATTGGAGTGGATTTGGGAGGGAACAGTGAGCAAAAGGCAAGGCAGGGGCAGGGGTGTGCTACCTGAATGCTGGAGCTCCTCAATTTTTTTCCATGGTCCCAGCCCACACTCAATGCTCACTCTCTCTCCAGTCTATCTTCCTAGGGCGGGCTTTGATGAGCTTGGAACCGGGTCAACTTTGGACTCCATTGGGCTTTTTAGCCTTGGACTTGGCCTTGATCGGAGGACCGATCTGACAGCCTTAGGCTAGGCTATTCACCCGAGTATCACCTCGGACAACCTATTAGATGGTAGCTGGACGGGCATATGCGATACAGACGACCAGACAGAGTTAGATGTTCCCTCTCAAGCAACCAACCCTTGAAGCATGACGGGCGGCCGAGAGCCCCTTGTCTAAAGTCTCCCCCAATGGTTGTAACAGCGTATGTAAGCTTGACTGGGCACCTTATGTCTCCCGCCGGTACTTTGCATCTTTGAGTACGAAGTACTCTGTGTCCCTACTGGCAAATGAAAGATACCTACAGTAGATCATCTTCCTGGACAGCTCGGAGAGAGAGTGTGTGGCATGGAGATGGGAATGCGATAAAAGTGAGACGTGTGCGCCCACAACTTGAGACGATGCCGGCTGTCAAAGCATTATTGTTAGACTCGACTCTCTCTCATCATCCCTCTCTCCCTGTGCATTGTGCTGCTCATAGACCTCATTTAGAAGTGCATGTATCCGTAGTTGACTACCATAGGTAGTACCCAGCATAGCTAGTTGTACATAGCAGCAGCTTTGGAAGCAGGTATGAGCTGTTGGCATGTACACATCCACTACAAGCATTCGCATCCAATGTCAGCTACCTTATCCATCGGGTCCTTTTACGAGGATGAACTGCAGCAAGCCATTATTGCCTCGGTGGCTTGCTTACCTCACCTCACCTCAGATACCAAGACACACATCAATGACCACCATTATAGCCACAGCTTGGGAAGGGAGCTGTGCCGTCTGCAACATTGGAATTTCAACCACAAAAGAAAGTGGAAAGCTCCAAAACCAGGAACCTGTGGTCCTTTGGAAGCTCAAGCAGAAGAAAACAGGGTCCGTACCTAAAGGCCGCGCATCAACAGGTCCGCCGTGCCACGGACTGGCCCGTGGGTTCTCCGCCAACCACACCAAAACGGGCACTAAGAGCACCAAAGATTCAAGAAACCGAAGAAGGCGCC